AGAGAGAGGAAAGAGAGGAGAGAGAGAAGAGAGGAGGAGAGGAGAGGAGAGAGGAAAGAGAGGAGAGCAGAGGAGAGCAGAGGAGAGCAGAGGAGGAGAGGAGAGGAGAGGCTGGAACATGTGAACAGTTTAATACTCATGTGGAGCCTCCATGTTTTATGATGCAGAGCTACATGAACAGCGTGTTCAGCTCTCTGTAGGTTCTGACCTGCATGGCTACGGCCGAGCCGGCTGGATTGTACTGCGCCTGCATCTTGGAGTAGGCCGAGTAGAACGGAGCCTCGTTCACCAGCTTGTTGTAAAGCTCCAGCGCCTCCAGGACCTTCACATTCAGCTCCGACAGCTCGGAGTGTTTCCTGCAGCAGAGAGGGAGGAGTTTGTCTTTCCTTTGGAGAAGAAGCCTAAAGATTGTCTTTACAATGATCCGTAACAATTGAGATCAGAAGAGGTTCAGTAACACTACCTGTCTATCTCCTGTAGCCTCTCATCAATCATCGGGTTCATCTGCTCACACGCACCTGTGTTCACATATTTACAGAAACACAGTTAGAAAGCATCCGTCTGTCTGCAGCAGATCTTAATACTCCAGCATTAAGCTCTGTACCCTCCAGCTGGATCAGCTCAGCAGAGTCTGGAGCCGGATCTGCAGGATCGGCGTTCTGCAGCAGACCCAGAGTTCTGTCCATCTTCCCCTGCAGAGAGAAGACGGCGGGTTTGTGTCTCTGCAGTTTGACTGAGAGGTGATTTGTGAATGAATGCGTGTGCAGCAAGTACCTCGTCAATGCAGACGGGCTCAGGCTCTACTTTGGCTTCCTGAACCGTCTCTTCGGGGCTCGGTGCCTTCTCAACAAAAGCCACTGTGGAGGAGAAGGGCGAGTTTGTTTAGCAGGTCTGGTTTTAAATCCAGCAGCTGAAGATCATACAGGCTGGTGTGTTAAGAACAAACGGAGGCCGATAAACAGATAAAGTTTATGAGCTGAAGTGCAAACGAGCATTTCAGTTATCCTGGAAACAGGAGTTGAGTTGGGTGGCTTTAGAGTTTAATCTGATTAATTAACTAACTTTAGTCTTTTTTGTTGTTTAACTGCTAAAAGATTAAATCATTTGTAGAGAGGCGAGTACATATCTGACTGAACCCCCCCGGTGCAGAGAAACGAGGTGCAGAGATACAAACAGAGGCTGACCTGTCTCTGGCTCAGCGTTCAGGTTGGTGGTGACAAAGTTCGAAGGGAAAAGCCCGACTCCTCTGTGGTTCTCTCCTTTCCACCAGTTTGGATCGCTGGAAACAGAAAGAATCAACATGTGAGCTTCCACGAGTGAGTCCCACCGAGTCCACCTCCATACTGAGAGGGTGGCTTCAATAAGAGAGACGTGATGACACAGACGAGTCAGAAATCAGCAGGGTTGTTTAAAGCTTGTTAGGATAACAGAAGCATAAAGTAATACTTTATATTTACAGAGAAACACCTGCTGGATTTATGACCATCAATCAGTGGAAATCTGAATTTATGGACCCAGAATTATTTTTTTGTGATTAAATTTGATTGATTTTCAATATACGAGTTGAGATTAAACAGTTAAAAACAACAAGAAAATTTAAAGGAAATTATTTTTTACAAGAAATGTAATAAAATAAAAAATAATAAATATGATCCATGAATTCTTGTAATTGTTTATTTCTATATGGTCCATCTATCTGTTGCTCTTTTTAACTGTATTGCTAACTCAGCATTGTTTTAACTTTAACTTCTTAACATCCGAGTCTGAAACAATATAAAACATCAACACTGAACCAACAGACGTTAGAAGCTTCATCACATGAAGGATGTACTGCTCAGGTGTGTGTGTGTGTGTGTTCAGACTGCATGAAGAATATGTACAATCTGCTGTGATGCTCGTCAGTCTTTCATAATCGGAGAATATCACAGCTGCTCATGAAGTCCAGAACAATAGAAATGATATGTTGATGATAAAGATTATTAAAAGACGTCACCTGTCGTCCAAAACCAGAATAAGTTCTCCAGCTTTGAAGGTCAGCTCGTTGTCTTCGGCCGCTTCGAAGTCGTACAGCGCTCGAACCTTCCGGGCCTCCTGACCCCCGCTGCCGTTGGTGTAGTTCGGGGGTTCGGAGGTCGCGGCCAGGGGGCGTGTCTCCACCGGCTGCTTCTGCTCCTGCAAGGACAGCTCGATGGCTGGGAAGGGTGGAGGCGTGGATGGAGAAGAAGAGAGATTCTTTTTTTCATTTTAGTACAAACAGCTCTCAGAAGACTATAATTATACATAAAATCGAGTCGATAATCAATTAAAACTGAGGAGAATATTGGTTCAAACTAATAATAATAATAATCCTTAAACATGAAGCACAGCGGTTGTAAAACATGTGATGATGAGATGACGCTTGTAACAGATGAAGTGATTCTTCTTGATGAAGGCGTGTGCAGAGCTGAATGATGGAGCCTCTCTCTACCTTTAGCCAGGTTGTCATCATCCGACTCTTTGCCGACAGCCGGTGTGACGACCTTTGTGGTGGAACCCTGTAGTCAATATAGAGAGGTACGGTCACGTACAAGCGTGTGTGTACCAGATGTGGAAAAACAGATTTCCAGTGAATGTAATGCCACCTGCAGTTCATGTTTGGTACTACACTTTGGCGCAGGACTATCTCTCATATTCATACATACATACATACATACATACATACATACATACATATACATATATATATATATTAATTAAGATATAATATATACAACTAAGATATAATATAACAATTAATATCTCAATAATCATATATATACACACTGTCTATGTTTTCTCAGTATGTGCTTTGTTATCTATTCAGACGACGTGATTGTGTCTCAATATATGATTTCATCACGAGATGATTGCATAGAAGATGTTCTGAGACTTCTCTCACTATTTAGATCCTCCGAACACGGAGCAGAAATCACTGTTACATAACCAAAGGACCAGAAGAGCATTATTCTGGTTGTAATTAGATATTGGAAACAACAGATGTAAGTTTAATAAAGACTTACTTCCCTTCATTCACGGTTCTTGAGACAGACAGACAGAGCTCACTTTGTTAAACACTCTTTAAACTACTGATCCATGAAGACCTTCTTTGAGGAGCTTTTCTAGTATCTGATGATAAATCAGAGCACGACTGAGCCCCAGTGGCTGATGGGAGGAGCTTTCATTCCAACAACAACTGTACAAGCTGTTTGTGCCGACCTTAACGGGAGCAAGAAAACTAATTGCAGTCGACAGAGACAAACAGGGACTGATAGAGTGCAGCTCAACACTAGAACAGACAAAAACACCTGCAGGCTGTCCAAGAGATGACCCACAGGAGATGAAGTTTAGACAAACAGACAGTAATGTTCAGCTGTGGACGTATTTAAGACTCCTAAAAGAATCAATATCAGTTGAAGTGAATGCTATATTTAGAATGTTTTCTCCTCTTTTCCTTCATGATGAGGAACTGAAGCTGTTCTCTATGATCTCTACAAACACACCAGACTCCTTATAAACTTCAGTGTTTTAAAGTGTTAGTTCAGATTCACCATACTCTCTCAACAACACAAAAGAAAGAAGAGAGGTAGAGATCATAGGTAACAGCTTGAGTTCCTCATCATCAATGTGAAAATACTCTAAATATAGCGTTCACTTAAACTGAATCTTTCAGGAGCCTAACATACGTCCACAGCTGTACATCTACTGAAGTAACACACTGACTGTGAAGTATCTCAGACAAACACTTCTAAACATCACATCTTATCCCTGTAGAGTCCAGCGTGATCGATGGCTGGAAGGTAAACACCAGGAAGCCGAGTCACAGCTTGAGTCAGATACCTGCTGCTGTTTGCTCATCAGCTGATAACAGATTAAATGTCAGAACCGACGCCCTCATGGCCTCCATTAAAGCAGGCTGCCTCAACACAACACAACACACCAACACACAGCAGAATGGAACACAGCCAACAGAACCAACGTGAGGCTGAGACAGCAAGACCAAACCCAGAGACTTCAGATCATTAACAAAGACGTATTATGTTCATCATGTTTATTATTGAGCTTGAAGAGGTCGACCTCATTTACAAGAATAAACCACAACAGACCAGAAGATTCACCATCTAATGAACACTACAACTACAGATAATATATCTGTAGTTCAACCCGAGAGTCCACTTCAACCCTTGACACACATAAATATATATATGTAAAAGATTTGTTATATAACACAAATCACACAGACATCAAACAAAGAAGAGAACCTGAAGGCCAGCTTTGTCAACAACGGACACACACACACACACACACACACACACACACACACACACACACACACACACGAAATATGTGAAGAGGAAATTCCACTGGAAGCACTTGGCCAAACAAATACAGACAGTCATGCGACGCTCCACCCAACCCCCGAACCTTTAAACTGGTCTGTTGTGAAACCACAACAAGGTCCACACACTTATTATTATTATGGTCTACGGACTCAAACTGTCATAAAACCGTGTGAAAGAGGACTGCCAACACGTTACGTCTGAGGAATGATCCCTCAAGTTAAAGTGAAGTTTCTAAAACATATGTGTTCAGGGGATACTTTAGGGCGGGGCTACACAGTGATTGACAGGTCTCTACCAGAGACGTATACGACATCTCTACGTCACTCCTCCTCAGTCCATATATGGTCACTTCCTGTTCACTGGTTGCAAAAAAACAAGATGGCGACGGCCAAATTGCTGAACTCGAGGCTTCAAAACATCCACAAAGCAACGAGTGACCTCATGATGACAATGTCCACTTCTTATATAGACAGTCTGTGGTTAGTCTTTATCTCATTAAATCAACTTGGGATGCTTTTAAACTGGTGATTTATTTCCCTTTTCACACAAAGTTCTCGGTAAACTACTGGGTTTAACCTTCACACACGGACTGCCAACCGCCGTAAAAACTCCACAGAAGAAGAAGAAGAAGGTCAGACGTCTCTTATTTTTAGGAACATGGCAGGCGAAGAGCTGCTTTTATAATCAATGTAAATGTTCTTATGATGTAATTTAATATCCGACAAGCTTGTGAGAGCATTTCAGGGATCAGCTGCATGTGTGAAGGGGACTTTTTTTTTTTTTATGTTCCTTAAAAATCCTCCCGTTGTGGATGATGTAACCGTACCTGTGAGGACGCGGTGGGGAAGCTGACACCCTCCTCCTTCAGAGACTTGATGGTGGCGCCGATCAGGCTGAGCTGTGGATCCTTCTGGAAGCCTTCTGCCCACTCCACCATCAGAGCCTTCAGCTTCTCACACACCTTAGGGTGGGCCTGCAGAGGACAGAGTCATGAGTCTATCTGGGACACCTCAGTTAGAGGAACAGTGTGTCACATGTAGGGGGGGTTTAATGGTAGATATTAAATATAATATTCATAACGATGTTTTAATCAGTGTATAATCACCAGAAACTAAGAATCCTTACGTTTTATTTAGCTTAGAAAAGTCATTTATATCAAGTGGGTCGTCTTTAGGAGTCCGCCACGCTTCTACGGCAGCCCAGAATGGTCAAACACTAACAGACACTGGCTCTAGGTGCTACAGCCCCGGTGCTACATAACAACACTCGTTAATATACGTGCAATCAAATATCTGCGAGTAAAAAGCCAATACTTTATCAAAACATCTGTGAACATGTAAACAAAAGTGAAACCTAATTAAATACAACTATGTATTCATGTAGAAGAGCAGAGTATTGATAAGAGTAGCTGCTAGTAATAATTAAATCCTAAAGATAACTCTCTACTCGTAGGCCACCGTAGTTCTGGAGGAGTGAGCTGAGGGTATTTAGTCAGTTGCAATATACAACCTCACCACCAGATGTCACTAAATCTCACACACTGTTCCTTTAACCTTCTTCAGAGTGTGACAGTGATTGTAGTCGTGAGTGTACAAAGAGATAACAAACAAACATGGTTATAAAGTAGCAATAATAAAGTCCACATACTCTGCTCACAACGCTCCGTACTTCACTGGCAAACTCCCGTGAGCAGATTTCCAAGTGGAATATTCTGCCGCAGTTCGACACACAAGCACCAAGCAACTGTAAGAAAAAAGAAAAAGAGATTAAACATCTGGTATTATAAAGGAAAAAAGAGATTAAACATCTGGTATTATAAAGGAAAAAAGAGATTAAACATCTGGTATTATAAAGGAAAAAAGAGATTAAACATCTGGTATTATAAAGGAAAAAAGAGATTAAACAGCTGGTATTATAAAGGAAAAAAGAGATTAAACAGCTGGTATTATAAAGGAAAAAAGAGATTAAACAGCTGGTATTGTGAAGGAAAAAGGAGGATTTACTTTCTACCACTCACATAAATGAATTAAAACAAAGAAGGCGTTAATAGAAGGTGAAGCTTTTGTAATTATGAACGCTTTTAATGACAGAAGAGCTCTAATGATGTGAGTGAACACGGATGTCTAAATATAAAGCAGGTCATGTGACAGCATTGGCTCATAATGACTCAGACAGACTGAATCTTCAACAATAGAAACGAGATCAACTGCAGATATAACCAATTATAAAATGACCAAAATATCATATTCATATTTCACCATGAGTGAGCCGTATCCGCACTCCGGTAGGAGCTGCCGAGAGAAAGCTGCATGCTAACAAAGGAAACCGAGATGCCAGAAAGCCAATTCTACACAGATTCCGGACAAACACCAGAATCACAAACCGCTTTATCGATTATTATCAGAAATGCGCCTCACCTTTTGCCGTTTTCTTGAAGACAAAGCGTAAAATCCTGGGGTTTTCACTCAGATATCTGTTCAGCGGATGTCCTGTTTGTCATAAATCTGTTTCCGTGAATACAGGGGGTGTAATCTAAACCAGGGGAGCAGGGGGTAGGGTTTGACTTTCGGCGTATCGGATTTTACTCTTCACGAGAGACGGCGCTTTGTTGATTCTGACTGGCTAACCGTGCTGTCAATCTTTTCCACATGGCTCTAGCTCAATTCTATTGGCTCCAACGCGTTGAAAGAGGGGTCATTCATTGAAATCGACCAATGGGCTGCTGAGATAGAGCCCTGCGTACACAGAGGACTGGAATCGAAAATAAATCCTGTACGCAGAGACACACAGACGCTCAGAGAGGATCCTGGCTCTCAAGATGAAGCCAAACTGCTGTATTTGGATGTTTTGAACACCATTAGTGATAAAACAAGTGAAATATATAGTTATATAGCATATCAAATTAAAATGGAACAGATGGTTCCAAAATGACCATTTTGGTGAACTCACCTGACCTCTCTGTACTTAAACCTCTCTAACTTTGTTCTGCTTCACTTTATCAGAGTGAACCTTTGCAGAGAGACTGTTCACATGTTGTGCTATGATTTGGGAGAGGTTTAAACCTGCAGCTGCATCATTCCAAAGAAATAATAACAATAAAAGTAGAGAAACACGCTCACATTGAGGGCCTGCATGGCAACATGAGGCACTTTGTGGTTGACTCTCTTCATGATGGATCTCAAGCTGTCCTTTGATCTGAAACACAAGAGAACGGAGAAGAACTCAGAGATAACGCCACAACAAACTGTCCTTTAGACCAGAGATGCTCCTGTGCAGGTCCTCATGATATCTCACCCATTGGGTGTCGTTCCGATCTTGTCACAGATGTCCATGATGAGCCCCCAGTCGTCTGCTGTGTTGGTTTCATTGGTGGACTTCTCTGAAATGTGACAGACAGACACACAGAGAGCAGAAGGTCCAGTGAGAACAATCATCCTCACTGGCATCACGGCTGTGCCCACCGCAGTGGGCGAGTGTCTGTCTGTCTGTCTGTCTCTCTTACTATCTGTCTGCCTGTCTCTGTGTCCTACTGACTGTCTGTCTGTCTGTCTCAGTCTGTCTGTCTGTCTGTCTGTCTGTCTGTCTGTCTGTCTGTCTGTCTGTC